GGACCAAGCTTTCAACACAGGAACCTTTGGGGGCATTCCAGATGCAAACTATAACTGGCTCCTTACAGTCAGGAATTAAAGCTTAAATTACAGCACTGTGTTTTTAGTGGTTGCTATGGTTTATTATTTTAGTGTCCCCAGCACAGCAGTGTCCAGAGGCTGGCCTTTGGGAAGTGGTGGGGTCCTGAGGGCTCTGTAACATCACAGATTAGTCCACTGATGGATTGATAACACAACACTGCTGGGAGTGGTGGAAACAATGGGAGGTGTGGCCTAGTTGGAGGAAGTGGGTCTTTGAAGCATGGCCTCAAATTTGTTTTGTCTTCAGCTCCTTTCTAGGAGCCATGACTCCTGGCTTTATGTGTTTTCTTAGCACACAGCTTTCACCCGTGTTTTCAATAACCTTTACCTGCTACCGCCATTCATTTTAATGTAAAATTGACCCTGTCCTGGACAGGATTCAGTTCCTGGTCCCCTTGTCAGACCCCCAGGAAACTCAGGTATCTGGGGTCCCAGGCCACGACCACGGTCACCCCAATCACCAGGCGGATTCGAGAGCTTGCTGCAAACTGCACAAGGCTTTATTGTAATATAACGAGCTAACCCCATGTTAGCTCGGGTCTTTCACCCATCCACCATGGCAGATGGCTGGCAAAGACAGCTCCTAGGGCCTCCCCTAGGGCCTCCCGAGAGATCTTATAGGGCAGCGTAAGGGGAGTGTCTAGGGGTATGCACAGGCTCACTATTGGTGTGCCTCCAGCCTTGAAGGGTCTGCCCTGTGTTGATTGGTCAACTGGTTGTTATGGCCCATAGACCCTCCCAGGGTGGTTGCTATGCTCTGTGCGTCATTGCTGTGTGCTTGTCCGTAAAGTACACCCAGGGTCATAAAGCATAGCGCCACCAGCTAACTTCTGATTGGTTCCTTGCCATGAGGCAGGCATCTGACTTCCTAGTGACCAAGACAAGGTCATAGAAGCACGTGTTCGGCCGCTATGACTGCTGAAAGGGGAGCTGGTCCCTTCACCCTCACTAAGCTTTATTCTTAGTGTTAAACAGCTGTGATTGACTTAGCTACCTGCTATTGAAAGGGAAAAAAATCCAACCTTTGCATTCAAAGAATCACTGCTCCGGTGTCTTGTATAATAACTGTTAACACAGTTGTTTAAAGTTACACAAAATGAGCACGGCTTTCTTTTATGTGCAGAGATGAGCCATCCGTACTCCTCTTTTTGAAATCAGAGCAATCTTAATGTTTCATGGCTGTAACTAATTGAACCGTGACGTAGCAGTTGCTGCCACTCCTCAGCATCCTGTTTTATTTCTCTGTTCTGCCCCTTCTGCCCCACCTCATCTTTGCACACCAATCATACATAAACACTTTCTGTTTACCTGACATGATGTAATATGTAGGCTTAGTAGAGTTTAGGCGTTCTAGCTATGCCAAATTCTCTGAAATAACCTTTTTCCCTTTGGAAGACAATAGTTGTTGTAGGTTATGATTGTAAGCCCAATAAATTGGCAAAATCTATTTTGGGATTTTTTTTTCAAAGAAGTTAAATTTCAAAAGTGCTGAGATGTTAAGTAATGAATAAAATAAAGGAATTAATAATTCATTAGTGTATTAATAAATATTTCAGGACTAATGGGGCCCTGGTAAATTAACATTAATATCTTAGTAAGTGAAATTCTTTTAATGTTTTCTATATTTCAATTTAATGTGTTTAGTATTGAGCAAGAATCTATAGATAAGAGGTTTAACAAAAGTCACTAATAGATGTGAAAAGAGAACTTTGAGAAGTTTTCATAAATGAAAATATTCACATGTAAGACATTTAAAGGCAAAGATAACCATCAATCACTTCCTAACCGTGAGTTCATTTTACTAAACAGGATTATTCTCCCTTGAAATTTACTAAGATGCCTTCAGACACTCATTAAGAGAGTCATGGCTATTGTGATGAAGTTGTAGTCTCTCATTATATATCCCTGAAATGTCTTCAAATGAACACTTTTAACTCGTAATTTTATTTTAGTATTAGCCATGACTTTGGGGGATTGTGTATGTGTGTGTGTACATGTGCGCTCTCTCTCTCTCTCTCTCTCTCTCTCTCTCTCTCTCTCTCTCTCTCTCTCTCCATACATACACACAGATGCACCGCCTTTTTTGATCTTTTGAAGTCTTTTAACTATTTATTCAGTGTGCATGCACCAATAATGCTCTTCTTTCTGGATACTGAAAAGGTCAATGGCACTCAGGCCAGTTGTGAGGACCAAAACCATCTCTAAAAATTACTAAATATCCCTCCAGAGCAGAAGGTCACCTTGTAAGGGCCACCAGCTCTATAGTAATGTTTTCTACAAGGATCTTAATCTTAAAGACCTAAAGTAGAAAAATCCCAAGAACCAACAATTCATTCATTCATTTACTTATTCATTGATTGATTGTCTTGCTTATTCATTCATTTCAATGTTGTTGAAGCATCAGTCACAGCTCATTCATTCATTAGCCACGCCTTCAAAATGGTGCACACCTTTAATCCCAGCCCTTGGGAGACAGAGGCAGGCAGATCTCTGTGAGTTCAAGGCCACCCTGATCTACATAGTGAGTTCCAGGACATCCAGGGCTACATGGAGAAAACTGGTCTCAACATAACAAAAAAAGCTCTTTGGCTTCTAGGATCTCATAAACTCACCCACTTATACACACGCGCACACATACACACACACACACACACACACACACACACACAGCACACAGACACACATGGAATACACACATAAATAAATAAATATATTTTGTCCTGCTATTTTCTTTTTTGCTTTATTTTGTTTTTGTCTACTTCACAGAAGCTAGTTATCTGGAAAGAGGAACCACAATTAAGTAAATGCCTCCATCTACATTGTCTGTCAGCAAGTCTCTGGTGCATTTTCTTGATTAACAATTGATGTGACTGGGCACAACCCATGGGGACAGTAGTGCCACCACTGGGCAGGTGGTCCTGAGTTATATAAAAAAGCAGATGGTGCAAGCCATGAAGAGAAGCCAGTAAGCAGCATTGCTCCATGGTCTCTGCTTACGTTTGCCTCCAGGTTCCTGCCTTGAGTTCCTACCCTGACCTCCCTCAGTGATGGGCAGTTATCTGGAAGCGTAAGATGAAGTAAACCCTTTCCTCCTCAAATTGTTTTTTGTCGTGGAGTTTTATCACAGTCATAGAAACCCAAGACAATCTTCAAAGAAATGTGCAATGAAGTTTGCATTCTGATTAAAATTGAATGTCTAACCTTTTGATATGTCTCTAAACATATTTTTATCCTATACTATGTATTTAGGTGTCCCGACGTCAACCTGGGGCAAGAGAGTCAAGGATAGGGAATGGGGACAAGAGACGCAGAAAGAACGACCACAAGACAGGATTCTGATCAAGTGGCAAACTTTACTTTTCTCAGGCTAGCTTATATAGTCAGGATATGGGGAGGGGTAGAATGGGTTGTTTGTGCACCAGGTGTTAGTATAGGCAGGATATTAGGAAGCCACAAAGAGGATTTTGGCAGAGTAAAGAGTTCATGAGTAAGAGCTCCAGGAAGGGGTTGCCTAGGTGACTGAGCCTATAGGTGGAGGACTGGGTCAAGCTGTGTATTTTCTTGAGCTGAGGTTCTAAGGAGTTGCTATGTAAAGGTTAACTATGTGGCCTGCTAAGCATGGCCTAGGATCTCATGCCAAGCCCTGAGATTTGGCTCCCAACATTTAGGAAAATCAGCATTTTCATCATTATTGATTATAAAACCAAATGCAGCCAACACTGAAGAATGTTGAAGATATAGGCTGGGGAGAGAGCTTAGCTAGTAAAGTGTAGGGGACAGAAAGCCATGCCTGTTAGAGGCTGGCTACAGGTGTGCCTGACCACGCCTGCTAAGGCGTGGTCAAGGTGAGGTCAGTATGACGAGGCATGGGCTCTTAAGGGGCTGCAGAGCACATGGAAGCCCCTTCTCCTGCCCCTTCTCCCTGGCCTCGCTGTTCTGCTGCCCTGGGCACGCTCTGGCTTGCATTTGACTGGTATTTATCTCAATAAAGATATCTCGACCTTACGGATTATGAATTGTCTGAGTCACGTAATAAGTAAAGTGCTAACTGTGCAAGCAGAAGGGTCTGAGGCAACACTCAGACCCCATGTTAAAAAGTCAGGCATAGAGTCAGGCAGTGGTGGCGCATGCCTTTAATCCCAGCACTTGGGAGGCAGAGGCAGGCTGATCTCTGAGTTCAAGGCCAGCCTGCTCTACAGAGCAAATTCCAGGACAGCCAGGGCTAAGCAAAGAAACCCTATCCCTAAAAAAACAACAATACATGTTACCATGCCTGACTTTTTAGGCAGAGATAGGCAGATCCCTAGAACCCTTGGCCAGCCAGCATAGCCTACCTGGTGAGTTCTAGGCTAGTGAGAGACCCTATGTGGTGGTTTAGTGAGAAATGCCCTCCTGGGCTCAGGCGTTTAAACACTTGGTCCTCAGTTGGTGGTGCTGTTGGGAAAGTTATGGGGAAATGTAGTCTTGCTAGAGGAAGCTTGCCACCTGGGGGAGCACTTTGAGAGTTCATAGCCCTGTTCTACTTCCAGTGAAAATAAACAAACACATACATCTCATTAGTATGCAAATTTGCCTTAATCTTTAATAGATGATAAAATTACATGTTTATCAAAGAGTTGTTTCAAAGTTTTTTTTGTTTTGTTTTTGTTTTTTTTGAGACAGGGTTTCTCTGTGTAGCTTTGGAGACTGTCCTGGAACTCACTCTGTAGACCAGGCTGGCCTCAAATAAGAGATCCACCTGCCTCTGGCTCCCCAGTGCTGGGATTAAAGGCATGCCACCACCACTGGGCACAACGTAAATTTTTAACTTTTTGGGAGAATTTATTACATGAGTACTGTATGTACATTATTTCTGCCCTGCCTCTCTACCTCCTCCTGTATCTACCCTCTCAAGTTTATGACTCTTTTTCTTATTAATGTTACACACACACACACACACACACACACACACACACACGCATACAACTTACAGAGCCCACTTACTGTTGCTATTATGTATGTGTTTAGGGCTGACCACTTAGGATTGGATAACCTCAGGAGGTTCAGACAGAGAGAAAACTGATTTTCCCTCTTCAACACCCATTACCTTGACTACCTGTAGCTGTTCGTCATGGATAGGGCCTTGTGAGGTTTCCCCAGATTTACTGGCATTTTGCCTGGTGTTGTCATTATGCAGGTCTTGTTTAAGTGACCATACTATGAAGATTCATGGGGGCAGCATCTCCGTCGTGTCTAGAAGACACTATTTCACAGCAGACGTTTTGGTCTTTGGTCTTTACAATCTTTTTATCTTCTCTTCCACAGTCTTCCCTGAGCCTTAGGTGTTGGGCTGTACTGTTCAAATACTGATTGGGGCTGGGCACCCCACAATCACTTCTTCTCTTTTGACCAGTTGGGCAACTTTGCAGTAGCTCCAGATAAAATTCTTTGTGAGTTATTATCAGTAGATGTTTGATTTGTATGCCCATTTTATGCCTTTTCGGGGCAGGATCACGCGTAAAATCTTTAGACGAAAGGGGGTTTCAAGGAGTAAAAGTTTTATAAGCTCCGGTCTGGACACAAGCTGTCTTATTCACAAGAGCACACACTATCAACTGTCTGTTCAGAAAGGGTTCACTCCCTAAGGTGCGGTGGCTACGAAGGCCACCAGGATGTTACATTCTGCACACATCCATCCACGTCGTAACTACACTTGATTTGCAACAGCAGCCTTCTAGGGCTACAGCTACAATAGGCTCCAAGCTCTCTCCTTTGTCCCGCATAGATCATTGTAAGGCCATATTGTCTTACTCCTCTGTGCATCCCCAGATCATGGCCCATGATAACAATTTACATCATGTCTTTTAAAAACTTAAAGTAGTTGTCATAATTTGCTTATCCATTACTCTGTTTCTGACCTAGTCCGGGACTGAACTGGTTCCTCCTAGTACTCCGAGAACTCAGCTGCCAAGTTCCTCCATATTGAAATGTTCCCTGCTGGAGCGGGGAAGGAGCCGTGAGACTCAGGGAGTTAGCTAACCTTGCAAATCTTGGAGACTGAAGAGCGCAAGGTTCCCAAGGCCTTCCCCAATGTGATAGAGGCAATAAGAAGTCATTGAGGAGGAGACCGACTTGCCTGGAGGAGGGGTGCCAAGCTGTCCAGCCATTGACAGGTTAGCAGAGAGCTCCGGGGATATAGCTGTCATGTGTTGCCACTGGCTGGGTGGTCATTTTAGAGAGACAGCCATTAAGCAGCCATTCACCAAAACTCCCACAAGGAATCCCAGGGAATTCATTACGTATCAAGTTTGCCTTTGCCAGAATCAGCTTTGGACTGTCATTGTTTCCCTATCTAGGGTGAAGGGACATTCATGTTGTCTCTCCCCGGAAAGCCCCACACAACATTTGTTTAAAGATCACTTCCTTAAGCACAGTTTCCTTGATACTATCAAGGTGTGCTTTCGCTGTTACCATGGTAGTTCAGAGAGCACCTTAGCTCTCTACTTTATGGCAATGTTCATTTCTTGATTTTTATGATCTGAAATAGCCAGCGAGGCCCAAGAGATTGAGAAACACAGGTTCTCTCATCTTTGGTGCTTCAATATAGTACACCTCAGTACACATGCAATAAACATTTCGGGAATAAAAGAATTTTGATTAATAACATTTGTGAGACTGATCTTTCCATTTCTCTAATCCTCTACTGGCTACACAGTCACATCTTGGCAAGTGGCTGGTATATTTTTGTTCCCGAATACAACTCTTCCGAAAGGTTGCCATCACTGGGTATTTCTGTCACCTACTGTATGGACATGGTGTCTTGGTGAATCAAAGTCAGGGTGTTTGCTGTATGTGCATGCACTAGAGTGCTCTGCGCTCTCTCTCTCTCTCTCTCTCTCTCTCTCTCTCTCTCTCTGCTTCTTCAGGGACTTTGGTTGATAAAACAGTGGCTTCTTCCACCCGCCCTCCACTGCCCAGAACTGTCTTTTCCAGTTTCGGTAGGAATGTGTCAGGCAGGTTCTTCAGAGTTTTCTCTCCAGGTAGGAACTCAGACGTTCTTCAGCATTCTTTTCCTAATTTAGATGAACCACTAGAGGGGGCAGTGACGCTCCCTGTTGTACCTCAATCTTAGGATAGTAGGGTCAGACAGGCTTTGGGGACCTGGGGCAGACTTCTTCCATCTGATAAACCAAGGAACAGAGTGGAAACGGGAAAAACTTTTCCTAAGGCTACAGAGTCAGCTCTTGCTCTCCCCCAACCCCCACAGGATTCTACATGGAGCACACTCATGCTGCCTCAGGGCCTTGAAGGGGGTACTACAGGTTAAACGGACATGGCTCATGTGTCACAAGGCTGATTAACTCATCCCGAATTCCCTGGGCTGCCAGTGTGTTTATCTAAGTGTATTTTTTAATGGTCCATGGGTGGAGCGTGTGTGAGGGAGAGGAAGGAGAAGCATGTGGTAATGAAGGTTGTGCTGAGCCTCAACTTTTTTGGAAAATGAGATGTGGCGGCCTGTGATGACTATTGCCTTTTTTTCTTAGGTGTTAACGTCCTGTCACCCCTTTGCCAGTAACTACCCCCCTCACTTACAGAGGCATGGGCCGGTGGTGATGCTGGCTAACCATAGCTCCCCCATTCCTCCCTGACAGAGTGATGGCTTAGGGGAGGGGATGAACTTCAGGTGGGTCAATGAGAGGCCTCCTTAGGGTCTTTGAACTCCTAATCCTCCTGCCTCCATCTCCCAATGCTAGGATTACAAGGGTGTGCCAGCATGCTTACCAGAGAAGTCTTACTTAAAAGGTATGTAAGGGAGCTCTGAAGAGACCCAGAGAGACGACCCAGGCAGAGGACAGAGCCCAGGTTCCGCTCCATCTGCCCGGAGTCTGCCGCACCTCTTACAGTCTCCTAGTTGCCCTGAGTTATGCCACCTAATAACAAGCTTGTCAGTTCTTTCTTTTTTATTCTTCAAAGATAATTTGACCCAGATGCTTGTCATTCACAGTGAAGAATTTTGCCATAACTCTACAGGTTGTTAGAATTTACCAGAACTAGGTCTGAAATTGAGTGGATGGGTTGGATGGACTGTCATCACTGAGAAGGGGTCGTTTGAATGTCACTGGCCTCCATAATCTCATCGGGAGGGGCAGTATTAGGAGGTGTGGCTTCGTTGGAGTGGGTGTGGCCTTGTTGGAGGAAGTGTGTCACTGTGGGGATGGGTTTTAAGGTTTTCCTATGCTCAGGATAATGCCCAGTGTCTCAACCGGCTTCCTGTGGCCTGCAAGATATAGAACTTTCAGCTACTACGCCAGCACCGTGTCTTCCTGCACACTGCTATGTTCCCTGCCATGTTGATAGTGGACTGAACCTCTGAAACTGTAAGAGCACCTCAATTAAATGTTTTCCTTTATAATAGAGTTGCTGTGATCATGGTGTCTCTTCACAGCAATAGAAACCCTAACTAAGACAATCTCCCTTCTCACTATGACCTTTTGGGTAAAGACAAGACTCGGCCTTTCAAGAACAGTGATTGAAGAATGCAGACTGATCAGCTCTCTGTATTTCCTATCTTCACTCAGCCAGGAAAGACATGGTACCAGTGAGGCCAAGGGCAGGGATACATGATCCAGTTACTTCTGCTCTCTGTAACAAAAGCTTTACTCTAAAACTCCAAGCTGTTTTGCAGCTCACCTCTTGAGTGGTGTGCCAGTATGGCTCATCTAACTACTGGGTAGTTAGAAGTGTTGTGCCAAACTCAGGGAATAGCATTCAAGTCCCAGCTCCGAGCTCTTATAGACAGCGCCTATGAGCCATCTTATATCTCTGGACCTCTACTTATCAGCTTAAAACCATGATATTTGAACAACCTGATCGTAAGATGTTTTCTGGCCTTAAGATTATATTATCACCAAAGAACAATTCAATAAATATTTTGAGAATCTCATGTTGGTCTAACTGATCCTGTAAACCCCGCCCCCAAGTCACATTTAACTTACTATTCTTTTCACGAGTGCCTAAGGCAAGCCAGATGCAGTACCATTCAAATAGAAATCTCTGCTTCTGGCAGGGAAGTGCAGCCCTGCCCTCCTTAGCAAATCATTTGTTACCCTGAAGGTTGAGTATACGCCATGGCAGGGAGAGCCACTGCCTCTTCTGTAATATTAATTACTGTGAAGTAGCAATTCTGTACTTCGGGGCCTGGGAGGAAAGAGCTTTCCTCACATTCTCACCTCTGCCTCCCAGACTCCCTCGACACATCCACCTCCCAGACTGCGAAGAGCCAGGGTTGCTAGGAGACCTGTCGACGGTGGAATAAAAAGGGAAGCAGATACTTCCTGGATACCCCATCTAGTTTTGAAAGACTGAGTTAAAGTACAAGTGGAGGTGGTTAGAGAAGGGAAGGAAGGGGCGGGAGGGGAAGGGAAGGGATGATACACACGAGAAACTGAAGTCATTCTTGCCAGGCCCAAGTTTGTCTCCAGGAAGCAGTGAGCTAAACTGGTTTGTTCTGAGTGTCGAGGGGTACCAGGGAGCTCAGCCTAATTGGGGTGTGGGAATGATCAGTTAGACACCAATGAGACCCGTGTAGGACACAAAGTTAAGGATACTGTAAGGGATGCTTGGGAATGCAGCTCAGTCGGTAGCATGGATGAAGACCTGGGTTCAAGGCCTAGCATTGCATAAAAACTGAGCATGGCAGTACACAGCTGTGAGGCGAGCACTCAGCAGGTGGAGGCAGGAGGATCAGTTCAAGGTCATCCTCAGGTGCATACTGAGTTCAAGGCCAGCGGGGCTACGTAAGACCCTTTCTCAACCCTACCTCTTTCCCAACAAGGAGAGCATTCTAAAGTGAGGTGTACCCAGTGCTCTCAAGTACCTATCTGTTGCTCTGGTAAGACACCCTTAGAGAAGCAATCTAAGAAGGAAGACTTTCTATGGATTCATAGTGCCAGGCACCATCCATCATGACAGGGACGTCAAGGCTGCAGGAGTTGGAGCAGCTGGTATGGTGACAGTTGTAGCCAGGAAGAAGAGCCCAATAAATGGCTGTTCTCAGTTCACTTTCCCCTTGTGGTGATTTGAAAGAAAATGGCCCCCAAAGGGAGTGGCACTATTGGGAGGTGTGGTTTTGTTGGAGTAGGTGTGACCTTATTGGAGGAAGTGTGTCTCTGTGGAGGCCAGCTTTGAGACCTCATATATGCTCCAGCCATGCCCAGTGTCTCAGATCACTTCCTGTTGCCTGCTCAAGATGTGAGAATTCTCAGCTCCTTCAACGCCATGTCTGCCTGCACGCCGCCTTGTTCTCCACCATGATGATAATAGACTGAGCCTCCAAACTATAAGTTACCTCAATGAAATGCTCTCTTTGTAAGAGTTGCCCTGGTCATGGTGTCTCTTCACAGCAACAGAAACCCTGACTTCAGCCCAGAGATGGTTCTGCCCATAGTGGGCTGGGCTTCCTTCCCATCTCAATTTATCTAATTAAGATAATTCTACTCAGGCAAGCCTAGATAGGTTCAGATCCCAGGTGATTCAACATCTCATCAAGTTGACAGCTGAGAAACCATCACAACTACTGCATCATACTATGTGGGGGGTGTTCTGGACATATTTGGCATACACACAAACTCCAATAAGTGGTTATCATTATTGTGGTTGTTATTGTTTTGGTTGTCCTTATAGGTACAGATTTTGTTTGTAGTTATTTTTAAGTCACTGTGGATTAAAAACACACTTTTTAAAAGACAGGGTCTAGTTAAGTAGCCTCAAACTCCAGATTCTCCTACCTCAGCTTCCTGACAGCTGAGGTTACAGGCATGAGCCATCAAAACCTACTTTACAATATGAATGTCTTCACCGTAGACTTGTCATCTTTTAGTGTACCCCTAAAGGCATATTGTCCTATTCCTACACATGTCTGAAGCATACACCGAGAGTCAGTTTCCTGCATCCAACCCATAGGCACCATGATCTCCAGTTGTCCCATAATCCAAACCAGATAAGCTGAAATAGCTAAACAGAACAGAACATGTAGCACCCGCAAACTACGCGTAACAGGAGAGAGCCACCATCCTTCCATTCCTGTTCGGAAAGTTCCAGCTAAGCCGAGTGTGGTATGTTCCTGTCCAAGAAGTCACTGTGTTTGGTGGGGCCGACAACCTCCCTTGGGTACCTCTGCTATCCTCATTTTGACCGGTGACCTGGACAAAGCTGCCTTGCCTGATGTTACTCAGACTAGTCACTCACAGCAGCAGTTTCTGAGGCAGGGGGCTGGCAGTAAGTTTTATGTTAGGAGAATCACATCCTGGAAAGACATAACATTTCCAGACATGTGGTGGTCGGGTCATGTGAGGTCTGGGATCATCTGGAGCAGCGAGCTTCCGGGAATGCTGCCTCCAGCAACTTTGCCTGGCAGACACCGGAACACAGCTCTTTCTGGATTCAGGAAAGAAAACAAAGAGAGCAGAACAAAGAGTGATGTGCTAGCTTCAAAGACCTGAGGGGAAAGAGCTTTTGTAAAACTACCCACCTCACTCTGCCACAGCAGCACTCAGGCTACCTGATAATTCAAAGGCCTGGGAAAGGCCTGGGGTGGGGGTCGGGTGGGGGTGGGGTG